TTTAAAGATCTTTGTGGCAATCATATTGTGCCATTAGAAATCTACCATTTGGAATTGTAAAGCGTTTAAAAGGAATGATTCCAAATTCCACAGCTGTCTGGTGAGTGACAACTTGATGTGGCCTGGGGGGGAGGAAGAAGGTCATTGTTGGGAAAACAGTTAAAATGAACATTTTCTGAACAGATGCTTTAGATAATACTTTGATAAATGAGGTTTAAAACAAAATATTCCGTGTGACTTCCAGGGAAGAACAGATTAGTAAAACAAACAAACAAAACTCAAAATGAGAAAACAAGAAATAGGTATATGGCTTGTACTTAGCAAATAATAGAAGATTGTTCAAAACAAAATGCAAAATAAAGAGAGTCTAAACCAGCAAGATGAGACAATTCTGCTGGCTATGGGAGGTGATACGCTTTTTTAATTGCACTGCAGTTCTGCCAAGCAAGAAAGCTTCTGGAAGGCTTGGCTGTTCATTTTGATACACTGAAATATTTGAGAATCCCTTTTTATTGCCTTTTTTTCCAAACCATTCAAGTAGCTCAGCTGCTGATCAAAATACAAAAGCATTGCATGTGCCGAGCAAGTGGATAATGAAAGCGATCTCCTCAGTTTAGTATCTTTGTCAGAAGAGTGTAGTGAGAAAAGTAAACAAACAGCATCACCGATGACAAAGTGATTTATGGAATTGCTTGGTTTTCTGATTTTCAGCACAATCACGACTAAAGGTCCCAATCCTGTGGCTGCTGAGAACCTTGTATGGATGGCTAGTAGCTGGCTGCCCCTAGTACTCATTAAAGCTCCTTGTGGATGGGGTTTGGAATAGGATCTGTTGAGAATATTTTTAAGGGAAGATTTTTTATCTCCCTTTAACGGAACCAATACCAAACAGCTTCTAATCCTGGTTTCTTCTGGCAGACCTTTTATAGGTAAAACCAAATCAATATGTGTAATTTGGGAGAAAATTTAAAAGGAGAAAATTTACCCCCAAATTCAGCATAACCTTTTAATTTCATCCTCTTTAATCCTTTGGTAATTTTTGTGCTTCTCCTGCAGAAAAGCAATTTTACTAATCACCTTTGTGCCAATCCCTGCATTCCTGACAATAGCGTGAACAGCTTCCATCAAAGTCTTTGATGTGGGAAAGACACACACACACATATAATCTGAAAACAATTCAGCCCCTTGGTTCTCAATGGTGAGCACTCTGCTTTAATAGAGTGCAAGTTCCGTGGAGGTTTCTAATCCTTTCTGCCAAACAGAAGAGACACAGTCAGGTAGCACACCTTATTCAGAAGTTAAAATAACATGTTACTTGCTCTCACAGAAAATCAAAACAACTCAAGATCAAAACCAGATTCCGCCAACCCTAACGGGATAGACTTTCTACTCAGATAACTCTTGATCTAAGTGTGTAACAAGTAACCTGCTTTAATCCCTCAAAGCGATGGTGTTACAGATAAGTACTGTAGTAGCAGAGGAGGTGTCTTAAGTTTCAGAAATACACAAAAGCATTGGTTGGAAGGAAAAACAAAACAAAGAGCTGTCCACATGAATGTGTCTTTAGCTGGAAAGGTGTATTTGAGGGCACTGCAAATAATAAAACCCCTTGAAGACAGAAAAAAAATAAAATTGACAGGCAGGTATTCAAATGGTGTTTCTTCCAAGCTGAGTTTCATTGACTTGTGCTGTTAAAGCTTTACAGATATAAGCCCTCTGATTTTTAGTTTACAAACTCTGCAAGCCATGATGTTGGAATGGTCTGCTACTTGAGCACAGAATCCTATACCTTTTCTAGAGGTTCAGAGTGGTCATGAGCCACAAAAGGACTGGGATCTTTGACTGCAGGATTTGGAAAGGATACATTATTATGATTACACTGCACTACAAAAACAGTTTTAGTAATGGTTCAGAACCTTCCTTGGTTCTTGCTCCTGCAGACTGTATAAGCACTAACTTTTGCATTGTTGGGAAGATCAGTGCCTTTGGGTTCTTAGCCCATGATGCAGAGCTTTGACAGTTCCATAGCAGGCACAGTAGCTGAAACCACGCCTGAGAACAAGTGTTGCAGGTCCATTTCTCTTAAAACAAAACCCCAAGTAATGTATGATATCTATGTTTTGGGCAAAGAATAACTATTGTTACTATGTTGTAAGGCAATTATCCATACTAGAAAACAATGCTACATTTAAGAGAAACGTATCATAATTTCGTTCTTCATGTTGTATGTATGTGTATCCTCTTTGGAGCACAGTTGACCCTCTGCACTATTACTGTGTGCAAACACGTTTCATTTTAGCCAAATATTTCATAGTTGTTTATACCCTGGGTCACAAACTGGAGAGCACCAAGGCCCCCCTTCTTCAGATACCCTTGTCCATACTTGGTCCTGGTATCCCAGAGGGTCACACTGCATGTGTTACTTTGCACCCAGGCTCCTTCTGGTCTGCACCAAGTAGTTTTCCTTTGTAAAGGGGCCCGGCCACAGACTGTGTACACAGGAGTTTGGATGCCACACAGTGCAGGGAGACTGCACTACGCAGAAGCTGCCTCTGTAGAGTAACAGAGCCTAATACCAGAAGGGACCCCTTGGACTGTCTCAGTCTGATATCCTGAGTTAGGACTAACCAGGTCAGTTCCTGGTTAAGTTTCAGTAGTTGTGCTCTAGCCAGTCTCTCTTTCTAAGGAAAAAAACCTCAAACCAAAACCAAAACCAACTGGCATTGTTTCATAAAAATCCAGTAATGGTGAAGCTACCATAAATCTTGGTAAGCTGTTTCAATAGTTAATTTTATTCCCTACAAAAGGATGCTTTACTTACGACTTTGTTTCCCATCACCTTCTGTCAAGAGATCTTCTCTCTTTGTCTGTTAAACACAAGATCCTTATATTGCCAGGTTTTTCTTCCTGTTTCAGTGCTCATAAGGTATGATCACCTCACACCTTAACCTTCTCTTTAGAAAGCTAAATAGACTGAGCACTTTGGGTCTTACTATAAAACATGTTTGACAGTCCTGTAATAATTTTTACATTCAATCTTCTTTGAAATCCATCTAGTTTTTAAACATCCTTCTTGAAATGTTGTCTGGACAAATTATTTCCAAAGCAGTCACGACAGAGTCAAAATCAGAGGTAAAAGCACCCCCAGCTTTTGTTTTTTTCCCAGGACAGCACTAGCTCTTTGGTCACAGCACTGCAGAAGGAGCTCACGTTCAGCTGATTATTCATCTTAATGAAGTCTTTACGGAATTGCAGCTTTGCAGGATAGAGTTACATCCTTTCAGTGTGACCTACATTCTTTGTTCCTAGATGTGAGACTTTACATTTGGCTCGATTGAAATACATATGATGTGATTATGCCTAAACTTAGCATAGGGTTACGCAGCCATAAGCCACCCTTTGCCTCTTGCCCCATGCTTTGTGCCTCCTGGAAAGTTTTGCTATGAATGATTTCAGATTTTTTTCAAGTTGCTAATAAAAATATTAAATAGTGGAGGGTGCAGAAGCTGTCTCCGTGTCTACTGGAAAAAGACCAACTTGATAATAAGTATATCTTTACAATAACAATTTAAGATGGAGAAGCCACTCAGCTTTTAATACATTTAATGCTTCAGACATTGCTGAAGTCTATTACAAAAAGAACTGTTTCATATAAACAAAGTCAATATAAAACTGTATTCACATGAAGTTCCATAATCTTATGTTAAGCTAAATCTGTTGTATTACCCCCCCTTTCAGTTGGCTACTCAAGTCCTCTATCAGATGTGCTGTTATTTCACCTGAGTGAAAATTTCTCAAACTCAGCTTAAGAAATTTTTAATTACTTTGGACATCACTTCTTATAAATGCTGATAAAAAATTTGCTGCCTTTTGGAACTTCCCTGACTTCCAGGGTGTATTAAAACTCAGTGGAAATGGACCAGTTTTGAAACTCTTAAATATGAGGCTTCGAGTTGGTGATTCAGTTGTACGAATATTTGAGTGCTTGAGATTACACAGACAAGATGACCTTCTGGAACAGGATGCAAGTACTGTCTCAAGGCCTGTATGCTATGGTAACCTCATTATATGCTGAAATTTATTATCCTACTCCACCCTGAAAAAGGAGATGTAGACTGTGGTGGCTAAGTGACACCTGTTCAAAGCATTCTAGGCAGATGATGAACTTCTTATAATTTATCTATTTTTTAATTTTGAGGGAGAAATTTCCTCAGCATTTCAGGCTTCTGTGGAGTGGAAAGTACTATAAGAAAGAATAACACAACACTAGACTCATATTTTCCTGCTCCACTGTCTGCGGAGGACTACTTTGCCATTTTGGACCAGAATCCTTCTGCGTTGTCAGTACTCCAGGCTCCTGTGGATGGCAACAATGACTCAGTTATTATGAACTGTTCTTTCGTGGTGGTGTGCTGGTGTATGTGTACACACACGTGTGAACTGCGAGCACTTTTCTGCCTTCACTCTGTGGAGCCCTGGAAGGAGGAATGGACTGCATGGAAGGGTGCTGGCGAAATCCATTGTAGCAGGGCCTGCTGTTACATGGGGAAGACCCTTATGTTACCTGTCCCAGGAATGTGAGAGTGTTGAAAAACTGCTGTGCAGAACCAGATGACCTCTGCTGTCACTTTGTGAGTGACATGGGCTCCTGACCCTGGTCAAGAATAATTAATGAGCATTAACCACCTTGCTGTTCACCTTCCTTTGTAGGAGTGCAGTGCCTAGCTAGGGTTGCTCCAGGTGGAGCAGATGTTCTGGTTACCTGGGATCACTGTCCCCACCATTAATTGCTCACGTTATTAATGAATACTCGGATCAGGTGACACTGCTAATCTGAGATCGGAAGACAGATCCGTGAGCCGGTCGTGGGGGGGAGGGGGGGGGGCAGCTGCACAGGGGGAGTCCCAGTGGCTCCCATTAATGAATTAATCCGCTAACGAGGGTGGGCTCGGCGGCCCGTGCCCCCTCCGGTCCCGGCAGCCGCCTCCTCCCCCGGAGGGGGCAGTGACAGGCAGCGGCTCCTGCCCCATGTGACTGGGGAGCGGCTGCCCCGTCCATGGCTTGGCCTCCCCCGGGCAGCAGCAGCTCCGGCTCCCGGGGAGGAGGGGCGGGAGCTGCTGCTCCATGGGGAGGAAGGGCAGCCCCCGGTCCCCCCAGGCGGAGGGGGGATCCCGGGCCGCCTCCCCCCCATCCCCGCTCTGGGCCTTACCCGAGGAGCTGCTGCTCCTCATCTGCTCCTACCTGGACGCGCAGGCCTTGGGCCGCCTGGCCCAGGTCTGCCGCCGCCTGCGCTTCCTCAGCGGCCGCGATCTCCTCTGGAGGCGCATAGCCCGCGGCTGCCTCAACTCCGGCTTCACCCAGCTCGGCACCGACCTGTAAGCGCGGCCTTCCCGGCGGAAGGGCGGGGGGCGGCGGCCGGGAAAGGCCGGGGATGCTGCGGCCCAGCCGGTTGCCAGGGGCGGGCTGCGCTCCCGGCGTGGCCGCCGCGGGGCCGCGGGGGGCGGGGGACGCGAGGCCATTCCCGAAGCGCGGCTGCGCCGCCCTGTCCCCGCGCCAGGGGAGGCGGCGAGGGCACAGGAAGGGCCTCCCCGGGAGGGAGCGGCCGCTGTGGCACCCCGGGCTGGCGGGGCCGGGCTCGGCCCCGGCGCTGCCCAGCAGGGCTGGGGGAGGTGCCTCTTGTCCCCGCGAGGGAGCGGGCGAGGATGGCGGGGGCTTCCCGGGATGCCTCAGCGCCAGGCCCAGCGGGAGTGCTGCAGCGTGAGGCCCTCTCCAGACCTGGAGAACTGTGTACAACTCAGGGTTCCTCAATACAAGAAAGACAGGAATTGCTGGAGAGGGTCCAGCGGAGACCACGAAGATGATGAGGGGTCTGGAGCATCTCTCGTGTGAGGAGAGACTGCGGGAGCTGGCCTGTTCAGTTCAGAGAAGACTGAGAGGGCATCTCTTTAATGCATATAAATATCTCAAAGGGTACCAAGGGGATGGTGCCAGGCTGTTTCGGTGGTGCCCAGCAACCAGACAGGAAGCAATGGCCATAAATTAAACTACAAGAAGTTTCCCCTCAACATGAGGAAGAACTTAAGTACGCTGAGGGTGGCAGAGCAATGGGACAGGCTGCCCGGGGAGGGTGTGGAGTCTCCCTCTCTGGAGACGTTCCAAACCCACCTGGACACATTCCTGTGTCACCTGCTTTAGGTGACCCTGCCTTGGTAGGGGAGTTGGACTAGATGATCTTCAGAGGTCCCTTCCAACCCTAACAATTCTGTGGCTCTGTGATCAGCTTGGTCCCCAGACCGCTCCAAACAAAACGCAGAGGCTCAGGGACATCAGCCTAGGGGAGGTGGGAACACAAGGAGATGGAGGGAGCCGTTGTGTGCAGCTGGGGTGGCTCCTGTGTGCCCATGCGCCTTCACCACTTCTGAGCAGCAGCCCCTGCCATGGTCTCAAAGACACCTCAGAGAAGAAGCTGCAAGGTAGCAAGGCCTGGGATGGTGTCCTGAGAAAAGGCTTCAGAGTGGGCATGGGCCCCCAGAAACATGTATCTTAGGCTCTCCTCACAGAGCAAGTTGCTGGTATAAGTGGTGATATCTGTCACAGAGAAAGTGACTCTTGGACCTTCATGGCTTCTGGGTTTTAAAGTTTTGTGAGTAGGGATTATTGGTTTTTTTTCCCGGTGTCTATTTTTATTTTTCCTCCAGTTCAACAGCACAACATAGGTTAGGAAGAGGTGTGAGCCCTCTTGGCTTTGCTGTGTATGACACCAGCGTCTTTCTAGATGAAGTGCCTTTGGGGCTTAGGCCTTGGTTGGTAAGGACCTAGAGTTTGCCTTTTCTCTCTCAAATCTGTTTATGTACCAAATGCCACTCAGAGACAGCCCCACAGTGTGGCTTTCCTTGCTATTTAAAGGATGCCAAGAGGAAGTTTAGAGTGTTAGGGTCTATAAATCCCTTGTTATGGTTTTCCTGTAGCTGCCGGCATGGATTTTGTTTGTCATCCAGTGACTTGGTACTGTAAACACTGTGTTGACATGACTCAAAAGAAGGGATGTCAGGTTTTGAACCCTATTTTGCTGTCTCATATTACTATTCATCAATAGCACAGACTTAAGAGAAACAATTATAGCTCCTGCTGGCAGGAGCAGAACTTCAGTGGTGGTGAAAATTCTCGTGTTGGATTTGCAGGCCAACACTTCAACCTACTCAATCTTCACAGCTTGAAAGTTAAGCGGAGTTCCCTTGGAAATCAGCAGGAATAAGCACTGCAGAATGGCTGTGTATTGGACTCTTGTCTACTGTGATATATGATTTTGTCTCCCAAGGAAATGAAGTTCTGTATTTTTCATTAAGAATAAGGTGATACTGTGCTCCTTCAGTTGCAGGAGGGATCAGGTGTACGGCAGACCAGGTGCGGTGTGTGTAAGGACCACCACTTCCCCCTGCAGAGGAATGCAGGTCTATAAACAGCTACGGAAGAGGTTTGCTAGGTCAGAGGGTTTCAGAGAAGGGAAGGCTGCTTGAGTATCATGAACTCCCAGGGATTTCAGTGCTGTTAGATTTGCTACGTACAGGGTTTTTTTAGTAATTCTAGGATATGCTTTTGTGTTGAGTTCTATTTTCAAGTTTTCCTTAAACAACTCTAGTACTGAGAGCTGCTTTTAGCACTGATCAGCATTGCTGTGGTCCTGGGAAGTTCAATCATGGATAACACACTGAAGTGACATTACGAGTGGTTATGGAGGAACCTTGAGGTATATCCGGAGGATGAATCCTTTAATTACTTTTAACTTCATGGAAGGCTTAGGCATTCTCCAGTTCTTTGAAATGGTGTGCCAGATCTTACAGAGAATGCCCCAAAGCAAACACTTGTTTTCCCTGTGTGGAGATCCAGCATCTGTGGGCAGCTGCATGAGTTTTGCCCCAGTAGGGTAGACAGTTCTGGCAATATAGCAGTACGAGGGGATCTGGATATCTGAACATCTGCAGAAGAACCAGTGTGAGTGCATGTGTTGAGTTGTACAGCTGTAAAACTTGTAGTTAGCTGAAGAAGAGTTTGATAGTCTCTGTGGCAGCTTGAGGGTTTTAACTAGCCATGTCTCTTCCATAGCACTTGCTCCTCATGCATGTCTCCAAGATCAGGAACAATCTCTGAGATTGGTGCTCTTGCAATTGAGGGAGTAAGATTTGCAGAGAGATGCTGTATTTTATTTAACACACCAGTACAAATTGGGGCGGGAGTTGAGGTAAGCTTCTGGGCACATGGCCTTTCTTGATAGTAATTCTAAGTAGGAACCTGGTAGATTGCTCATTGAAGGTTAAATTTGAGCTGAGTAGGTATTTAAGCTAAAATATCACTGTGTAAATGGAATGGTGACAAAGATGATGGATAGCTGGACCTTCTTGATAACTGTGCTTTCTTAGTGATATGGAGTAACACTTGAGTTTGTCAAGCTTGGTTTTGACTCAGGAGATGAAGCTTCTGTTGCATGTTCTGGCTAATATTGCATGAGGTGAACATTGGTTTTTATTTTTAAGAGGTTTTTGTGCAATACTGTGAGCAATTGAGAAAGCAAAGGCTGGAACTGTTTAGGGTTAATGTACTTAATAAAATAACGTGCATGGTTCTAACATTAGATTTTAAACTGATGGTCCCTTGGAGGCTGGCATAAGTTAAAAACTAGTCTAGGGAGTATTTACAGTTTAAAACAAAAACCCATCTCAGAATAGTTTGATCATTTCTTCTGTTAAATGGCTTTTGATAAACCATCTGTTAATGCTTTGTAAATAGCAATAAATTTGAGCCTAGGGTGAGATAGCTGTGAAACTTATCCCCTGCCCCCACTTACCCATTTTTAAAAGGGTGATTAAGTTGAAAATGACACTGTTTCTTTAAAATCTTGTTTCTGTTTGGTATGTCTTCTGATAATTGTAACAAGAAGATCAGAAGGAAAGGGCTTTATCTTGTATATGAAAAAACTGGTTTTGCAGTCAGCTCGCTTATAGAACTTCTTTATGGCAAAATAGGGAAGAGAGAAGATCGATAAGAAACTGGATGCAAACCTCTAGCTATTAGCAGCAGGAAAAAGAAAAATAGTAGTCTATGTGAAACAATTTGGATTTTATTTAACTTTTATATTATTAAACTATTTGTCATCCTGGCTACATACCTTTAAAAATTGCCAGCTATGGCTATCTCTGGACACATGCTTAGACTTAAACAATGTTAAATTGAGTTGTAATGATGCCAAAGGAAGATATGCATTTAATCCCAGACACTAACTGTTATTGTCAAAGGCATATTCACAACATTGACCATCTCTCATATTTGCCGTTTCTGGTACATTCAGCTGATTGGGAGACACAGATGTAAACCAAATTAAGTATTTAAGGTATTGATTCAATTGTGCACTTGCAGGAGAAGAAAGAAGTTTACTTTGAGAGATGCATCTGTACACTTCATTCCTTTGGTGGGCTGAGGGGTATCGCTAGGTTTGCATCAGCAGGAGTCACTGTATGTTAGGAACAACAGGAGCTGATTTGCAAGGGTTCTTAAAGCACATTCTTGGTGTTAAAAATGTGTTCTTTCTTCTTTGAATCAGCAGTAAATAATTGTTCAAGAGAATATTGTGTCACTGTTACCGAAGCAGAGTGGTTCTAGATGGATGTGCTTCTTGGCACCTATCCTATGCATCTCTCTATATCAGGCTGCCACTTTTTCTGTATAGTGGTGTTAATTTTATATATAGACTTGTACTGCTAAAAGACCTTGTTATGAGGATGGTAAAAAGATAGTCCCTATGCTGAAGATTTTTACTTCACTCTGTCATAGGAGCAGCTGAAGCAGAAGTTGAGCTCCATCTTCAAGATGTAAGGTGAAAGGTGCAGTTTTTGTTTCAAAAACGCATGGCAGCATATCGCAGTAAAGTTAAGACTTTACAACACTTTCTGGAGCTAAACTGTAGCTGAGCAGTAGCACAAAGCCTTTGGGTTTTTGGTGAGTATAGTGATATTACAGTTGTGTCCTGTAGCCTGTGTGTTTTGCCAGCTGTTGTACAGGCCCAGCAAGAGCAGTCTCTGCCCTGATGAGCTTGCTGCCTAAATAGCCAGGGTAAACAAGGGCTGGGAGGTGAAGCAGAGGCAGAGAGATGTCAACCAAGCTGCCCTCTGTGCAGCAGGTCAGTGTCAGAGCCAGGAATAGCAGAGGGTGCTTTAAGCCTTTATCCAGTGCCTGCCTGCTGGACCACCTTGGACTGGAGAAATTGGAGAGGCAAAGAGCTCTTTGCAAGGTGGTTCTTTATTTAAAGCATGGAAGAAAGGAATAAAGTTGCAGCTGGGCTAAACTTATTTCCTCTTTGTTACAAAGGAATTTTAGAGGGCAA